GGATCATTTGTATAAATGTGGACCGGAGGGAGAGGGTGACGAGCATAAGTTTCACTTTCCTTTTTTATTTCAATTCCAACTTTGGTCATGAAGAATATGTTTCTCTGTTGTCCCCGTTCATAAAGCATAAAACAACAGCATCAGAGCACGGTGCAGAGTCTCTAGATGAGTTTACAGTAGTCCCTCGTTCTTATTGAACATCCATGTTGTAGTCCGCTGTATAGAAACTGTAGTTTCCCCACAGCAGCAGACGCACATTCATGACGTCCGCTGGCGCATCATAAACACGTCGGATAGTGAAAGTGCATTCGGATTCTCTAAGCACCGCAGTCTCTTCTCCTAAATCCTTTTTGAATTCTCCTATCCACTATCCCTTAACCCCGTGACGTTTCACTCAGAGGTCAAGGAATAGGAGATAGGGTTAGAATTTAGGAGCTAATTTTTGGATTATCGGAACGCAACCCCGCAGTCTCTTCTCCTAAGTCCTTTTGAATTCTCCTATCCACTATCCCTTAACCCTGTGACGTTTCACTCAGAGGTCAAGGAATAGGAGATAGGGTTAGAACTTAGGAGCTGATTTTTAAACTATCCGACCGCAACCCTCGTCTCGATTGGAAAGATCGAAAATACACCATAGACGCATATATTTGTCTTTTTGCATATTAGAAACGAATTGGCGACACTAAGACTGCGATATAATGTTTTTGTAGTGTTATGACCGGCCCGTTGGCCACAACAGAAAAACCAGGAGAGACGCTCAAAGTTTCCAATAATCTCTGCACTTTATTCGGCAACACCAAAAACAGCAGAGGGTGGACGATAGTGATGGCAGTTTGACACTGAAGCTTCGAACGGAGACCTGGACTTCCTATTCCATAGAAGCAGTGCTTCGAAGCTTGCTTCAAATCACGTGACATATGACCTCCGAAGCAGCGACTGCTTAAAATCACGTGACATGTGACGTCCGAAGCAGCAACTCCTTCATTTCCTGAATGAATCACTACTGGTTCACGCACGGTCCATTCACGCGATTCAATGCACTGCCTCGTCTCGATTCTGACAGGTGACAGGTTGAAACAGTTTCAAATTTGAGCGCTTCAACACTTTATGAGCGCTCTAAACAATGCGCAATGTGTGGGTTGTTGTCGTAGTTTTTGTTGAGTTGTTGTTGGTATTGCATTTGAATTGTAATATCATTATAGAGCAAGCCAGGAAGAAAGATAGGTCGTTCTGGCTCGGGAAACACTTCGAAATGTGGAGAAGTTGTGAACAAAAAGACAATTATCAGTAATATAAAAACATTTCAAGGAATAGATAGCCCAGTGGGTAGAGCCGGCGCCCCGAATGCGGCGATGCCCTCCGCGCAGCTGGTTCAAAGCCCGGAATGGATGTATTTTAATCATTGCTTTTCAACTTTAATAACTGATAAAAGGCCCTCTCCTCCCAAAAAAATGTCCAGCACTCTCTAGTCTCTTCTCAATAACCCAATACACACAATTATCAATCTTTAATTGCAAATAGAACATGATATTCAGTCTTAGGGTGCGTTCACACCTGCCTTGTATAGTCCGGTTGAATCGAACCCTGGTGCGTTTAGCCGCTTGGTGCGGTTCATTTGGGTCGGTGTGAACACAATCCGAGACCTCTTAAGTGAACTAAACAACCGGACTCTGGTCCGCTAAAATAGATGGTCTCGGAGCGCTTGCTTGGGAACTCTGGAGCGGTTCATTGCTAGTGTGAACGCAGTCCGCACCAAAACATAGAAAGCGTAGTGTCACAAGAACGCGAATGTCTTCAAAATCTTTAGCAAAAGAGTCTTTCAAGACATCCGCGGTTGTTTAGTTACAGAGTGAAGCAGAATGAAGTGTTGAAGAGTGTCGTGTAAAGTAAAAATTCTCCGTCAGCTACATAAAAGTAAGAACACCTGTCGTCGGTGAAACGCCCCTCCTTACTGCAGAACGTCTCTCATTATACAGTGGGGCAAAAAAGTATTTAGTCAGCCACCAATTGTGCAAGTTCTCCCACTTAAAAAGATGAGAGGCCTGTAATTTTCATCCTAGGTACACTTCAACTATGAGAGACAGAATGGGGGGAAAGAATCCAGGAAATCACATTGTAGGATTTTTAATGAATTAATTGGTAAATTCCTCGGTAAAATAAGTATTTGGTCACCTACAAACAAACAAGATTTCTGGCTCTCACAGACCTGTAACTTCTTCTTTAAGAGCCTCCTCTGTCTTCCACTTGTTAACTGTATTAATGGCACCTGTTTGAACTTGTTATCAGTATAAAAGACAACCTCCACAGTCACACTCCAAACTCCACTATGGCCAAGACCAAAGAGCTGTCAAAGGACACCAGAAACAAAATTATAGACCTGCACCAGGCTGGGAAGACTGAATCTGCAATAGGTAAGCAGCTTGGTGTGAAGAAATCAACTGTGGGAGCAATTATTAGAAAATGGAAGACATACAAGACCACTGATAATCTCCCTCGATCTGGGGCTCCACGCAAGATCTCACCCCGTGGGGTCAAAATGATCACAAGAACGGTGAGCAAAATTCCCAGAACCACACGGGGGACCTAGTCAATGACCTGCATAGAGCTGGGATCAAAGTAACAAAGGCTACCATCAGTAACACACTACGCCGCCAGGGACTTAAATCCTGCAGTGCCAGACGTGTCCCCCTGCTTAAGCCAGTACATGTCCAGGCCCGTCTGAAGTTTGCTAGAGAGCATTTAGATGATCCAGAAGAGGATTGGGAGAATGTCATATGGTCAGATGAAACCAAAAAAGAACTTTTTGGTAAAAACTCAACTAGACGTGTTTGGAGGAGAAAGAATGCTGAGTTGCATCCAAAGAACACCATACCTACTGTGAAACATGGGGGTGGAAACATCATGCTTTGGGGCTGTTTTTCTGCAAAGGGACCAGGACGACTGATCCGTGTAAAGGAAAGAATGAATGGGGCCATGTATCGTGAGATTTTGAGTGACAACCTCCTTCCATCAGCAAGGGCATTGAAGATGAAACGTGGCTGAGTCTTTCAGCATGACAATGATCCCAAACACACCGCCCGGGCAACGAAGGAGTGGCTTTGTAAGAAGCATTTCAAGGTCCTGGAGTGGCCTAGCCAGTCTCCAGATCTCAACCCCATAGAAAATCTTTGGAGGGAGTTGAAAGTCTGTGTTGCCCAGCGACAGCCCCAAAACATCACTGCTCTAGAGGAGATCTGCATGGAGGAATGGGCCAAAATGCAACAGTGTGTGAAAATCTTGTGAAGACTTACAGAAAACGTTTGACCTCTGTCATTGCCAACAAAGGGTATAGTATTGAGATGAACTTTTGTTATTTATCAAATACTTATTTTCCACCATAATTTGCAAATAAATTCTTTAAAAATCAGACAATGTGATTTTCTGGATTTTTTTTCTCATTTTGTCTCTCATAGTTGAGGTATACCTAGGATGAAAATTACAGGCCTCTCTCATCTTTTTAAGTGGGAGAACTTGCACAATTGGTGGCTGACTAAATACTTTTTTGCCCCACTGTATGTGTTTATAATGTTTTTTAACGGACGTTGTCTGATTATATAATCATATGCGCGGGCCGCTAGTGTCCGTTGATCTCCAGATTAACAGCAGCATGAGAATAACCTGCCCAAAGTGCCGATGCTCCATTGCGGAAGCTCTGGTAGAAATTGCCGGGATTTGCGTGTTTACCCCCTTAATGTCTGACCAATGGTTGAACAGCATTTCCGTGCACATGACTTGTGTTTAAAGTTTATAGTCCGTTTGAGTTTTGCCTGTGTGAACACAAACCGAATCTTCTGAAAAATGAAAAAATGTAACGAACTGTCGTCTGGTACCCTTACGGCCCCTACACACGGCGGCGTGCGTTGCCGCTTCAACGCTTCTGCCCATTCACTTTGAATGGGGTGACGTCACGATTCGCCGAACTGCATTGTGGGAGCAAAGCGTAGCTTCTCTCGCGGTGCTCGCTGCAAAAGTAGAGCAATGTTCTACTTTTGCCACCTCGACGGAGGCGTCAGCCAATCAAATCCCGCGTATGCAAATCTGACAGCACAAGCGCTAGCCAATCAAACCGCGTGTATGTTGGGAGAGCCAGACCGCAGTTATTTCCCATATGTCAAAAAAATGGAGGAGGAAATTATCGTGGCGTTAGGGAATCACCCGGTACTATATGACCAGTCCCTCTTTACATACAGGGATACAAACCGGAGGAGCCAGGCATGGGGGGAGGTGGCAGAGACAGTGGGTGAAACTGGTAGGTTTTCGCCTGTTTGGGGAGTTTATAGCCAGTGTACTTCGTTTGAATGGACAGCTAGCAAGCATAGACAGTATATTTAGCCAGCATGGATGTAGCATGAATGCTTTGCTTTGTATGTCCGGGGCGGGACATTCATGTGATTGGTTGTTGGTCGCGTTGCTCGCGTTGACTCCCCAAGCTCAAGACACGCACACCGCTAAGCGGCAACGCACGCCGCCGTGCCGCTGAATTAGTTGGCAACTAATTTGGTCGTCGATTTTAATCGATTAGTTGTTGCACCCCTAGTTGAAAGGTTATCAAAGTGTTGTTGAATGGTTATCAAAGTGTTTATAAATGGTTATCAAAGTGTTTATAAATGGTTGTCAAAGCAGTGCTGTAAGGGTGTAATTCCGAATTAAACATAACAGACACTGTTTTTCACATACATAAAATATGTGTTAATGAGATACTTATTAAGCAAACTGTTTTTAAACATTAACACAATCAAATTTCTAAAGATACACTTTGCTGAAAAAATTATAATTATGCAAGTTCATCACAATCCACTTCTCTTCTGATTTTAATACAAAAAAATCACACATACTCTATCAGCATGTCCTAAATAACTGGCAGTTTTATGTGCAAAAAGCGTTTTTTTCAAGAGGTCATCGTATAAATATTTTAAAGACATCGACGGACACACTCTTTACTTTCCATGACAACACACTGATTTTGTGTCATAACAAAAGCATCCTTTATTTAAAAATGATTAATCACAGTGAACAGAACATTTTCTCTGTAACCATGGAGCTCACTGGAAACTATTTTCAAGGTGTTCAGGAGACAGTGAAGCACATGCGTGTCTCTAACATACGCGTCATAACCCGGGAGACTATTTAATTTCCATGGAAAAAGTTACATGAACTAATGGAGACCCATATTACCATAGTCGGCTGAATTAGAGATGATTCATTGACTGACAAAGTATATTCTTCATATTTCTTTATTTAAATACCTTAAAATTATGAAAAACACACTGTAAAAACCACTTGAGAAATATGTAAATTGATTGCAGTGATGTCTGTCATATCAACCCACTCTCTTCAGTCTGCGTACAAATGACACAACTTTACACATTGGAAAATGCGTGCAATAGATACGCTAAAGTCAGATTTTGCGTGCCTATCATACGCCAACTATTCCCATTGAGTTCTGAGTCCGAGTTTTGCGTGCATATGAGACGCAAATGGATACGGTCAGGTCTGAGAAGACCGGAAGTTGTGTGGTCCATAAAAACATGTTATTACTCAATATCAAGCCACGATTATTGATTTTATTTTAAATCGTATAATGTCGGACTTTTTTTGCCGTCCGTGTGGAAAAGAAATGGGGCTCAGAGCCTCAGAATACTGAAATCTGTATTTTTTGTAATCTTTTTTTCCTTCGAAATTGTTATCCTTTTCTAAATAACACACTGTTAACTGATTTATATTGTATTGCCTGTGTCTAAGCCAAATTCCTCAGCCTCCAGGGGAAATACATTTTATTTTTCTTTAAGTGTCTCACAAGCAGAGATCATCCAAACATCAGTGTGGGTGTATAAAGTCAGTGATTATATAAAGTGGTACCTCGGGTTGCACTTGAGTGAAATAAAAAGGGATAAGATGTCAAACACTTATTTCTGTTGAAGCACGTTCGGTAACAAAACCTGTTCTTCGACATGTAGTACGAACCTTAAATCATTGTTGGATTCCCATTGACCTGCAGAGTGCAGAGATATCTTGTGCAATCCCTTTAAAACTATGTTTAAATAACCGGGGATTAACCATTCAAATTACACATAATATCCAAAAATAGCCCTGAGTACTCCCTCTTCTTTTAAAGGCATGGCAGATTTCTAACCGGTAGAACTATCAGGAGGTGTAAAGGTGACATTTTCTGATAGACCATTTCTATCACCCTCGATCTCCCTGCCTTTTTCTGAGTTTGGGTCTGGCACAGAGTGAAGGCGAGATGAGCCCTCAGCAGCGTAGGAGCCACCTGTGGAGAAACTCACTGGTTGACTGGAATCTATATGATACGGGATTTGTACATTTTGAAGGGTTTTAAGGTTAGGGTAGCTCCCGGACTTGGCCATGTCTCGATGCAGATGTTCCCATGTGCTGCTCAGGCTGTGTGGGGGGTCGCTGGCCGCCCGGCACAGTAACTCTGTGTGCTGGCGGAGCTGGGCAATGTCCTGCTCCGTGGCATTGCTCTGGCGAAGCAGCTCCTTGGTGCGCAGCGTAATGTCCAGCAGACCTGACTGTCGGAGGATTTGTACCGTGTTGAGGAACCTGAGGTGGCGGGTACTGATGGTGCCGTTTTGGTGAGGTCCTCTGGATGTGAGGTTGGACGACGTATGGTGCAAAGTGGACCCAGATGGGGTGCCTTGGCTTGAGGAGACAGTAGTTGGACTGGAAGAGGATGCACTGGTTGAAGAGGGACATGGCAGCCCATGGGTTAGGACTGCCTCTTTGGGTTGCTCATGAAAATGCTGCTCAGGAAGACTCCTGATCAACGTTTTTTCCTCATTCATGTGATTTGTGCACACCCTCTTACTCAGATTCTGTGATTCATCATTAGATACAGATTTATCAGGCGGTGTCTTGCTGGGGTGTGGGGCAATGCGAGGGTAGGAGTTGAGAATGGGGAGGTAAGTGTCATTTATTTTCTTCCCTATGATGTGGGACTTCCGGGACAAAGGCTTGTGGAGCTCGCGGGAGGCCGGCAATAATCTAGGATGCTGGGAATGGATCATATGGGCGGAACCAGAACTTCCTGTTCCCCGGCTTCCATTTCTCCGGGACAGCTGGACTTTTTTTTCTATCATGTCCGGCTGGTGGGACAAGGAAGAACCATGCGAGACATACATTAAAAACTATATTGAAGGTAGAGGGGTATGTCTACATTATGTTTATTCCGAAGTTACAATTTCAGTTTCCAGAAATGCTATTTAAAAAGGCCTTTGCCGTTTTGAGCATGTGTCCTTTTCAGACTGGGCCTATTGCTTGGCCCCTGCAAGCACTGTTTTAGAAAATTGCTTTTGCGCGATTACTCCAAGGAAGTGAAGAAGAATTTGGATGTAACTCTAGTATATCCAGTATCTTGCTGCAATGAGCTGCAGCCTTGGCTCGCTTCAGACCACATGCTTGATTAATATAAATATTAAATGTGTCGCATTTCTACATTTGACATTGCACTGCATTGGTTCCCTAGCAATACACTCGCCAAGTGTAAGGTAGAGGGCACTCAAGAGATATCTTGCTTTAGATCAAATTGTAAGATAGGGGGATTATAAATCTTCCCTTGTATCTACTTTTTCCTTGGCATATGCATAATGAATACAGCCTCCATGTCCCCTTTCAGAAAAGTGAAAAAGTCACTATGGCAGATATGAAACACTTTTACAGTGAGTCGCTCTGACATTTAGCAGTTTGAATTTGCAACATTATTTAAAACATGTTCTCGTTGCACAGCCTTCACACATTCCATCCTTCAGGTCTGTCTACCCACCCTGTGTGTGCCTAGTACACTTGTCTTACCTTTTTCAGCACCATGTTATTGATGATGTAGATGGGTTGGAGCTCGCGGCCTGCTGTTTTCAGCATAGGATTCCCAGGATTCCCTTGCTGGAGGTCTTTGGTTTGACCTGTTTGTGAAGTGTTGGCCTGCTCGCTACGCTGGTCCTCCACATCTGTCTGCTGCCAGTCTGAGCCATCTGTAGAAGAGATGGAACAAGAAATATATGCTGACTTATGAAGAATAAAAACATGCTCCAAGAGATAGTTAAACATTTGTTGGTTGTTGGATTTTTTTAATTAAAATGTATTCAACATATGCTTTTAGTTAACAAACAGGGGAGAGAATAGGGGCGTAATTGCTTCGTTTATATTCATTTTATTCCGCTCCTTACGCTAATCAAAGGACAATACATCATGATAGTGATCCTTACATATTCTCCACTTCCTCAAACAAAACACATTTAATAAAAACAATGACTTAATTTAAGTATATTTTAACTTTCTTCAATTCATTTATGTCTCCTCAAATTTACAGAATTACAATAAACATTACTTAAATTCCTGCACACTTCCTCTGATTTGGATGTGCTCACCAGCACATTTGCCTTCTAGTCATGGTTACATTTTAAATCCAAGAACATTTCCTGCACATTCATTGTGTATTTTAATGTTTTTGAACCATTAAACTTCTCAGCACTACCTAATCTGACTTGTTAAAATGCATGGCAGTGTTATAAGAAATAGACTATGATACTCTGCAAATTGTTCATCACATTTACTCACCAGAGTAGCCAGAGTCTTTCTCAGAGCTGCAGCGGGAGCCCGTTCCACTGGAGTCGTCTACGTCTTTAGTTTCACGCATTGCCATCAGAGTCAAACTGTTGCTCTTATTTTTAGCATTCTTGCTGGATGAGGCAGAAGGATTGTGCTCGCTCAAGCAAGGCGCTTCCTTCGGCATACTGGAGCCTAATGAGAGAATACAGGATATTTATTACGTGGCTCAAAGCTAAAGATAGAAACAAAGAAATATATTTTCCTCTCATGAGACAGAGCTCTGTGGTGGACTGGTGACGTGCCCAGGTTGTTCACTGCTTGACACCTACTGCATTGCATAGTGGGCATCAAATTAACATTTCCATTGGCTATTAATTATTTACAAAGTGAGACAATGTTGCTGTCTTTTTTCACTTTATTTGCATCACAGTTTCTTACAAATCACTTGCTCAACTTCCCTTTATTTGTAAAATAATTGGCTGGGTGTTTGTGCAGTCAATTGCACAACAGCTTTTTACCTTGTCAACTTCGATCCCCTCATGAATCTGAAGGTGCCTGTGTGGATTCATGAGGGGATAATAAATGCCTTTGGGTGGTGTAACTGAGACAACTAATCACAGAAACACAATATGTGTAGTACTCAAGGTAATAGCTTATAATTTAAAAGTGACAAGTAACTGGAGACTGTGGGAAGTTCATGAAACATTTGAGGAAAAACCATAACACAAATGAACCCTTATGAATAAACACCTCACCCCGCCCCCTGTTTTCATGCTTGTGTGTACATGTATCCCCAGGTGTATTTACATGGAACCAATGGAATGCAAGGGTCATGTGTTGTTTTCGAGTCAACAGAGAAAAGAGCCTGTAACGTTTAGTGAAACAAATGCATTCATTGACAAAATACAAGGCAGAGACCTGGAGCACAGTAAATGCATGCTTTCATATGAATGCATGAGCTCGTTCAGGCTGGAGTTGAACTTTAACGTAACCATTTCTTCTCTCACTCATGTGTATGACGTCTGTCAATCTCAAAGGCTCAGCAACCAAAATGAAATCCATAGGCTATGTGTATTTACATGCATCTCTGCTTATGGCCTTAATAAAAGCCCTGAGAATAGAAACAAAATAATATCGGAGGAGGGGCCTCAAAATAAACCAACACATTTAAAAGATAACCAGTTTTAACTGATTTGTTGATCACTATTAGTTTGGGTTTATGGGTTTTAAAGAACATGACTTAATACTCCCATCCACACATGGTTCAAGCCAAATCAATCGCTTTTGGTGTCTTCCTGTGTCCTCGATATTAGTTGGATATCATCATGTATTTGATGGTGCAAATTAAAATTACAGAAGCACAAGTCAGTTAGGGAAATGATCAGATAGAACACAGGTCTTGTATAGTTGACCCGGAATGACACCAGATTTCCTTTGTCTGTAAGGATACAATAATCAACAATGCAGCCACTAAATGTTACATTGTGGGTCTGCTATCAAATCAACACTGCAGCAACAACATGTAAAGCTCTGCATGAGGCATTTTCATTAGACATTTCCGCGGTATAAGACTTTTTCTCCTGGCCATTTGTGTACAGTCACCAGTGCTTCTCGTATTTTCGGAGGCAGTGAAGGCAACACTGAGCTGAAACAGCGCCCGCCCCTCCTCCTTCCTCTACATTCCCCCTATTATGCAACACCACAGACTATGTAACACCGAACTTCGTGTCCAATTCTCTCTTAAAAACACAATAAATAAAGAGGTTGCTCGGAATAAAGCGGCATTAAAGAGTGCAAAACAAAAAGTTATAAGAGTCGGAGCTCGGATAGGGAGAGATAAGTCCTTTCAAAGCATGCTTTACATGTTCTGTCTGCAGTGGGAAACGTACCTTCAAATGTAAAATATTAAATCATTTCCACATTTGGTCGCTTTCCCCGCTGACTGGGTACCGAGCATCGCTAACCTGCACTGTCATGTTTCAAATGTTATGCAAGAGTTACAGTATAGAAACGATTCAGTTTCCGCTCTTTGTCAAACATGCTGTGAGATAACACTTACAGTGATAGGGACTAAGGATAGATATCCGTCAAGTTAGTCAGAACACAAGGCACATTAAATAGTTAGCTTTTAAAATAAAATGCATATCCCCTTTTCTTCTGAATGAATTGCACTCATTAGGAAGACAATTCGTATAATAAGTGTCAATGTTCTGCATAATTCATACCATAAAATAAAATCCTCAGTCTGTAGGCCTACATACCTGAACGTTTATCCAAAAAGTGTCCGCTTTTGTTTTGAAATCAGGCAGGCTAATTCTAGCTGGCTTGACAATGTCGTTTGCCACGAAATGGTAAACAAGGAGTAAAGAAAATAGGTATATCGAAGTGTAATGTTAATCGACCTTGTATGCGGCCACAAGACAGTTAAAAAGTTCCCCGCCGATGACACAATAAAACACGGAGGGGGGTGATTTGTTTCAAGTTACCTAATTTAAACCCACAATCTGATGGACCTCCTACCAGACACAATACAAATGATCGCTTAACGCCCATTGGTCAATGAGACAACCGCTTAAGCCAATCACAGTTCAGGGTACATGCAGCAGCGAGCAAGTGTGCAATAAATCAAAGAAACTCCCATAAAGACCTTATAATCATGGTGGAATGTAAACTAAATAAATTACATAAATACATCGGAACTAATAAATACAAATAAATCAGAATGAATAAATAAAATGACATGTTGAAAGAAATACATAAGTACAGGAACCACTACAAGAGGTTGACAAATGTATACGAAATAGGCCTACATGCATAAATAAATGTTGAGATTAAAACATAAAAAACATATATTTGATGTATTCCTAAATGTTGGTTTACTTGCATTTATGCTTAGGTCATGTTCAGTCCTGCATATATATTTGGGCTAAAGCTAAAATATATTAGATTATGGGCCCAGGTACATAGATTTAAGTTAAAGTCACTTCAATTTGAATTGCAGTCTCGAACTTTATTCCAAAAGGCAGCTAACCATTGACCACGTGCCTCTGCCAACAAGTCTATTTGCTGCTTGCTGGAATGAGCCTGCACCCATTACATTACAGCACTAAGCACATTTTATGGGATGGGCGCAGCAGGGCACAATAGAGCAGTCAGGAAAATCAGTTAACATTATGGTGGGTTTGCAATATGTGCATTGGTTTCTTGACAATTATTAAAACTACATAGGCCTACTCTAGATATAATCACGCTGTACCAGAGGCATAACATTATTGACCTTTAAGTTGTCTTCGGGTCAAATCTGACCGATTTACTACTTTCAATCATAACTTTTGTTTTAGATTCGATTGCATTAAAGCTTTATGATATCGTTCACAGAAGACATTTGAACATATAAAATTGCTGATCACCACTTTCATTGCATTTTAGATGATTTAGTCAACTTTGCAACACCCATGGTGTTCCCGGTCAAATATGACCGCCATAAAGAAAAGGAATTAGTAACCATCCGGATCAGATAAAACACACACTCTAGGTGTGTGTCTCTTCCCCCCCCCCCCCCTTATGTGAATCACACCTGGCACACAGAACAATGACACATTTCCCGCTCTTATGTGTCCAATCCCCCCACATGGATCACACCTGGCACACGCAATACATGTTCAGTGTCTATTCTTTGTGTATTTACTGCAGTTTGTCATGTATACCAGTAGTCTGATACAATATGTACAGTTTGAAAGGGTGTTAAAGAAATGTTGTGATGATTAATGGTTTTTGCGTTAATGTAATGGCAGTTAAAACGGGACCGGTCAAATTTGACCGCGAACACCAAAGTAAGGGGGGAAAAACAAAGACAATAGGAGGGTTAAGCCAGTCAGCATGTGGGCATGATTGCACATGAGCAGGAATGGCCAATGTGAACAATACCACCATGCAGCCAGAAGGGGGCTCTGCTGTCATGTAGAAATCGCATACATTTGTGCAAAAACAAAAACAGCTGAAACTCAAACAGTTGCAGCGGACACTTTATTTTTACATTAAAACGTTCAAAAATAACATGATAGACAGTCCACAAGACAAGGACATATCAATACAATTCAAATGTTTTTCAAGATTGGCTGCAAGATAAGATCATAAAACAGGTGTCACATACATACTAAAGTGCATACAATCTTTGGTCAAACAATGTTCTTTTTAAATCTTTCAAACTTCTTCCTCATCCTTTCCCATGGCAAGTCTTCGGGATCCACAGCAAATAGTTGAGAGCCATGCTCAGATTTTTGGAGCACACTAGACAAGTGATACTGGTCTAGCATCAAAGTTACTGAGTATAACATGTCAGGTGCATACACCCAGCAGAGCAGCAATGTTTTTAAGGCCAGGGTGCAGGCTGACATACATGGTTTCTGGAGAGGAGAATTTAATAAAAGTAGCGCAGGTCTCTCGAGTGTGGGCCTTGGCTGCGGCACCGGCCAGAGTGTGCATGATCCTCAGCAGGGCCGTCTCACTGAGAAAAAACAAAATAATAGATTTAAATATTGACAGATAGGATGGATGCTGACTTATACACAACATGTGAACGGAATTTTTACATCTGTGAAGTTAGGAACATAGAGAAGCCAGGGATCCATTACTTAAACGCTGAGGATGCCCGGGGGAAAGGTTCTCTTAGGGCACTGTGGATGAGATAAATGCATCTTATCAGTCAAAAACACACACCTGCCGACATGCACACTGGAGGCCAGACACCAAGCAGCCTCTCCTTCTGGTGTCAGGGGTTCCTGCAGAATTTGCCGGGACAAGCAGAGGACAGATCCTGCCAACTGCAAGGGCAGAAACACCACACACTGGCTCTCCAGGAGAGACAGCTCCAGGAGATAGCGAGCCATCCACACCACCTGGTGGCACAGACAACACTTCTGTTCAGATCTCTACTTAATAGGAAATACATTGACTGATTGACTGGCTTCCAGTTCGGTTCAGAATAGATTTTAAAATCCTTTTATTTGTTTTCAAAGCCCTAAATGGGCTGGCTCCGGCCTATGTAGCCAAACTCCTCCATCGGTACACCCCAGGCAGAGCCTTAAGGTCGGCTGATCAGCTGCTGCTGATCGTGCCTAAGACCAGGCTCAAAACCAGAGGGTACCGAGCATTCGCAGCAGCGGGCCCCAGGCTCTGGAACAT